TGAAAAGGAAATAGACAATTATACGAGCAGAAAACCAGATCGCTATGTGAGATATGTTGATAACATCTTTGCTATTATTCATGGAACCCAGAACGACATTCATGTTCTAGTGGAATATATGAATAAACTAGATCCAAATGTAAAGTTTATGGTGGACATGCAAAATAGTAATAAATTTGTCATTTTTGGATGTAATGGTTGAACGAGTTAATGATGAACTGATTCCTTATGGATATAGAAAACCATACTAGACTATCGCTTAATTGGACAGAAAATATAACTTGATCAAATGCTTGTGTATCAGGCAGGACAAAACGGATCTGTTCAACCCATGAACTGTTTTAAGGAGAACAACGATACTATACACGAATCTTTAGTACTCATTATTCCGCCGTGATGGTAAACTTTTTCTTGTAACTGGGTACCGTACTCGGATATTTGCGTTCAAGTACATTCACGAGGATTCAACATAGTTGTAGCCGCAGAATTTGGGTAAATACGAACAGCCCTATTCCGACTACTGTTATAGCAACATCTCGTGGCTAGAGACAGATGGAGCCAGAAAGATTCGTCACCATACTTCGCCAGATTCAGCATTTCCTAAGATTAGGCCAGCACCGGTATTTACCTGTCGCATTTTCTCGTTCCTCATATGAAATTTTTATTACCGCAAAATGATATTGTAAATTTTTTTTGATAGTTCAGTCTTAAAACTGAACAAAAATTTACCAATTCCTCCGTTGACACGCAGAAATCTGAAAAACCCTGTGAACGGTGGATATATATTGCAACTTTCTACATCATCTTACCTCGCCGAAAATTTTCCTGCAAATTGGTGAGCATAATTGAGCAGGATTTTTTTACATGCTCACGCTTCAAGTTTCTTTCCTGCAGAGCCCTGGAGAACGAGATGGCAAGGAAAGCGAAGCCTGTAATTATGATTTAAAATCAGACGATATATTAGAAATAAAATATCATCATTTCGTCAGCAACAATAGAGCGGTATTAGCTGAACGTATTCGTGAATGTTGGTGTGAACCTGCAGTGGTACAATTGCCACCGGAAAGCAAGATTCTGGTAGCGGCAGAACCAACTCAAACGGCGACCATGCTGAAGAAAAATTTACCTTCGAATTAGAAAAATTAGAAGTAGAATATATTCTAATAAATTAGAAGTAGAATCCGCACTTCATTCCACGTCGCGAGGGCATAGTAATCTTGTCACAATCTTGCCGCCCAATACCCAATTTGAATCGCGATCGCTATCACAGACGCACATATTCGTCAATTTTTCGCGTTTCGCGACAAATTCGCTGTTGTATCCGGACACAGTTCGCGACAGGATCGCGATTGAGATGGTAGCAAGGTTGTAACTGAATTTGCTTGTTTCGCCGCACGATCGCCATTGAAATCGATTGTTTCATTAGTGATCGTGACAGGATCGTGTTTAGTGTGAAGACACTGATTTCACCATCTTTTACCCGGTTTTCGCGTCGGGAACATAATGCAATCAAGTTGAATCATTCACCTCAGACTCTCTTCGAAGTTGAGCTTAAAGTAAATACATAGCAATTTTATTTGTAAACACGCTCTCGCTTTCTATAATTCTTCTTAACTCGTCATAGAAATTGTGATAACGGTGTTTTGAACTTTAGAAACGGTTTGATTGTTATTTCTAAAACAGCTTCAGTCTTAGACTTCTCTAAGTTCTCTCATGTATTTCTCAATTATGGTTTACGACTGCCGTATACGGTCACGTACGTCGATATACATGAGCCGCACACGGCGACGTATTCGTGAATGTTGGTGTGAACCTGCAGTGGTACAGTTGCCACCGGAAAGCAAGATTCTGGTAGCGGCAGGACCAACTCAAACGGCGACCATGCTGAAGAAAAATTTACCACCAGAATTAGATTATATGCTCTACTTAGGAGAATATCCCAACGATCGGCTCCACTTCCGTTAGTATTGAACTATTTTGTACGCTTTTTCGAAAGTATTTCTTTTTTTTTCAGAAGCAACTATCATCAGTTTGTCATCGTCGTAATTACAAACAATACAATATCTTTGCAGACAACAGTGATTCAAATTAGTGAAAGACTTAAAAGATTTGACAGCTGTTACCAATGTAAAAAACAGATCTGTTTTAACTCTACTCGACTTTCTTGCGAGGGCTTTCTTGCCCAAGATCTTGCTTTCTTGGTGCAAGAAGTCTCTTTGATTTATGATGACTATTCTTGCTTTTGTTTCTTGGTTTCTTGCAGAGAATCAACTTCCAGCAAGAGTGGGGAAGAAACGTAATTCTTGCTTTCTTTTTACAGGGAATCAACTACCCTAGTAGGATCCGCACTTCATTCCACGTCGCGAGGGCATAGTAATCTTGTCACAATCTTGCCGCCCAATACCCAATTTGAATCGCGATCGCTATCACAGACGCACATATTCGTCAATTTTTCGCGTTTCGCGACAAATTCGCTGTTGTATCCGGACACAGTTCGCGACAGGATCGCGATTGAGATGGTAGCAAGGTTGTAACTGAATTTGCTTGTTTCGCCGCACGATCGCAAAATTAGCATATTTATTTTTGTGGAACCTCTGAGTCATGTCGTAATCAAAATGATTGCTAATTTCCTTTTTTAACGAAGATTTGATTAATCACAGAAAAGTTTTCAAATCTTGTCAAGATCTTGATCCGGGCGTTTGCAAGCAGATTCCTCAAAAAAAGCTCGTGTTTGAAACACCTGGAACCAAGAAGAAAAAAGCGTGTATAGAACGAGATGGTAAAGAAAGTGAAGCCTGTAATTACGATTTAAAATCAGACGATATATTTGAAATAAAATATCATCATTTCGTCAGCAACAATAGAGCGGTATTAGCTGAACGTATTCGTGAATGTTGGTGTGAACCTGCAGTGGTACAATTGCCACCGGGACAGTCACGGGATAGAGCGAACGCAGACGAGCGGACTACGGGAAATCCGAATATGACTGTGGGCGACCTCCATGGTCGATTCTGTTGGTCGAAATCTTCATTGCAACTTGATAGGATATAAATGGTATTCCTTGAATGTACGGGATGGACACACTTATCTGCATCCTAACACACGAGAGTAGTGAGCACATTAGGTATTGTGTGCCCAGGGGACTTCTGAGCAACGATGGGAAAATGAGGGTAAGTGTAGGGAAACTGGTAAATTTCGTTGGGGCATCTATAGTAATAATGGAGCGGGACAAGCAGTGGTGCAGAAAGTACCTCCGATTACTTATTCGTATACACATTACAGCAGACAATAAGCAAGAAAGCATGACTATTGTATGTTTTTCTTTTTACAATTCCCAATGTACGATAACATGACCGATATGTTCAATTTTTTCGAGAGTTCGTTTGAGTTTACCAAAACTTTCTTGAGTTCGTTGTTGAACCATATCTTTAGGCAATGTAATCATTTGCATAATGATAACTGTGTCACCACCACCATGACATATAATGGTTTCACCCAGATGAACATTTTCTTTACTCCTCTTAGTTTCTTCTAAAACGTTTGCAGCTATTTTTCGT